TTTATTGCCTTTTTCCCAAGCATAAACAAAACCAACAATTTTGAGTTCTACCAGTTAGTGAAAGTGGACAATATAGATCAGAATGACAGTTGCATATTTCTTCTATTTGTCTTGATGAAACCAGTTTCTGTGTGCTGCTCTGATGTTCTACTCCATTAGCAGAACAATTACTGTACGAATCTGCTTTATACTTATTCAGGTCCAAAGGCAAGAGGTCAGCACTATAATGTACAGCACAGCATAAGACCTTGATGGGCACACACACATTTATTCAGCTTGGGTCACCTCATGTAGATATCTTGAGCTCAAGAGAGTTCTTCGGTGCACCAAGTTGTTGCTGGATCATCTCTACAGGGCAGGTGCAAAACATTTTGCTGCACAAAGCAGACAAGATGGTGTCCATTTCCCATTCAAGGCACAGAAGCTGATTGGATTGGCAGATGAATCTTACTTCAGCACTGATGCTAGGATAGCCTCTTCCACCATATCTGAGGCAATGGGCTAGTTATACTGTGGGGAAGGGGCTTGGAGGGAGAGGACCTGTAGCATACACAGCTCTGTTCTCCAATAGGAATGGCTGTGAGGCTTAGGAAGAACAGTTGGAGGACTGATCCTGCTTCCCCCCCCCATCGTTTGCCACTTGAGACAGTTGCCTGCCTTTGCCTATTATCCCTGCGTCTGCATTGCTAGAAGCATGGCGTAAATAATTTTGCTTCAGGTTCCTATGTTTGGTAAAGTTTGTGGCTTATACATTTTTTGCTATTTCCCCCTTGGTGGAATAGGCTGTCTATATTAGTAATTGTTACCGGATGAGTGGGGCACGTGGAACCAGTTTAAATCCAAGAATTGTTCAATCAAATTTGTACTGATTTAAATGGTTGTCCTATGCAAATAAGGAGGCACTCCCACATCTTCCTCCTCTGAGAGAAGTGGCAACTGGATGCCTCAAATCCAAAACGATAAACTCACGTAAAACTTGGATTATTTCAGAGGAAGAGAAATGAAATGATGTGATGTAGCTGGAGATTCAATGTGACCACTTCCCCCGCTGTGCTGAATATATCAGTGAAATTTCATAACATCAACTAATTATGTTTTTGCTGTTTTCATAACACAGGGGTGGTGAAATTGTGGTCCTCCAGATGTTGCTCAAGTACAGCTTCCATCATGCCTGACCTTTGGCCCTCCAGGCTGGGCTAATGAAAGCTGAAATCTGCCAACAATGGGAGGGCCACAGGTTCCCCAACTCTGCCATAATGCTTTTAGAACTAGAACAAGAGTTGAGGGAAGGAATGGGAGGAGCTGTTATTTTTTTATTTTATCTCTCATTTTCCCAGTCTTAAATTCAGTTCTCACATCTCCAAATCAATTTGCGATTAAAGAAAAAAAATCCTCATGAAATTCATTAGCACTTTACTACGAATTTCTCCTGATATAATGCATATTTTTTTTTTACATTATGTTCACTACTACTCTATGTGCATTTTAATGCACACTTTACCATAGTCGGTGGATTTTCACATGCACCACTTGGCTGGAGAACTGCATTTGCAATGGTCAGAGAGGCATGGATTTTGATTGATGGCTGTGTTCTGGTTTGTGTATTGTTTCAGAAAGTGAGGATCAGGTAGGTTTGCCTTTAAGTGAAAACAGAATCAAATTTCTCCTTCATCCCTAGTTGGTGTGTGTGTGTGTGCGTGCGTGCGTGCACGCAAAAAATGGACATCTGGAAAAAAAACCAATTTCCTATGCAAGCTGGGAAACTGGTAAAGAGAATGAAAAAGCTAGAAGCTAGTGTGGTGACTGATAGCAAACACATTTCTTTGTGCAGTTCATACATGAATTGCAGCATTTTTCTTTCCTTTTGAGAAGATTAAATATATTAATAAAAGAGCCCCACTTGGGCAGCCTTGTTTGCAAGTGCTGTCAGCTTAACAAGGCTGTTTAACCAAAGCCACATAAAGTAATTTTACATGCTCCCATCAAGACTGTTTAAACTCCAATCATTCATGTTTGCACATCTAGCCATGAAAGGATGAAGCTGGGGTGCTTTATGGCAGACAAATGCTTAAGTAAGATCAAGGGCTACGTCAATTTCCAGGGTGAGTGGAGAAAGGAGAGACTTGGGACTTCAGAGGAAAATATTGAGAGAGAGAGAGAGAGAGAGAGAGAGAGAGAGAGAGAGCGCAAAGCATCTGGGGAACTTAGATACTTTCTGTTTTGGTAAATGAAGCTTAAGCATTTGCTCCTTTGTCAATTTTTTTTCCAAAACCTAGCAGCATCTTCAAAGCTTTTCAGACGCAAAAACCAAAGTCATCTGTAGGAGTCAGTATGCTGGTAAACAAATGCTGCATTAATCTATGTCCAGACACATGCAACCACCAAGACTGTTGGGGTGCTTTTTATCCTGTCTGAAAATCAGGAGAGCCACTGCCAGCCAGTGTTGCAGTGCTGAGCCAAATAGACAGATGGTTTGACTTGGTATAAGGAAACCTCCTATGTCATATGTTTGGGTCTGTGGCTTGAGCCCAAAACTTTACAAAGTTTTGCACCATGCATCTTTCTTTTTGTGGCTTTGTAGAAAAAAAAAACCTGTTCTGTGTGTCATGGGAAGTGTGGGTTTCTAGTCATGTTGCTTCTAACTTTTTTGCATCTGACAACATTGTTTCTGGCCAGGAAATCAAAAGATGAGTTTTGGCTTTGGGGCTGCCTTGGGTCCATCCAATGTTTTTCCCTGGTGTGAGACTCAATCCTACCAGTGCTTTTCAATCCTGCTGAGCTAGCAGGTAGATCCTGGTCCTGGTCCCCATGAGCTACCACTTCTAGTTCCTTTTCTTCCTTGTGCATGAGACTCTCTCCTTGGCTACACTGCATGGATCATTTGAATGGATACTCATGGGTCTTGAATCCTTTCCCTGAGTCACTCATGAGTTCTCCATGCATGCTTCTTCCCAAGGGACCTGTGTGGTTGGCGAAGCATGATCTGAAGGCCCAACTCTATCTTTTGCTGTGTTATTTCCATGTGTAAGCTTGGCATGGTTATCTGAGTTGTCTGGATATGTCTGTGCTACAAAGAAGTCCAAGATCTTTCTGCAGAGAACCCTGGAGTCCAGGGCTATTGGTAGCAGCTGTTGGACAACTGATGCTGGAGAGCATCATAACCACACATGTAACTTCCATGCCATGGGTTTTTGTTGCATGCTGAGCAGCTGTTTTGATGCCACCTCCATTAATGTTCCTGATGAAGGGATGCAGCTCTAAAATAGGTGTGGCTACATTAGGCACCCCAAGGACTAGGGAATGGCAGGGATAGATACAACAGCATCTTGGCCTTCGGCAACAAGTGTTGCCGTGTGTAGAGAATTATTGGTAACCCGCATCAATAATCTCTAAATAGGGATGGTAAAACTTCTGGGTCATCATACAGGCAGATTGTTAGAGGCCAGAAAGTGTTGAGCTGATACATTCTGTAAGGGTTTTTATTAGGATTGTGTACTTGATTTGGCCAAGGCCAGAGCCCAATCAGGCATATTTGGAGGAGATGGGGCATCAGAGGAAATAGGTACAGCCAGCCACAGATCACTACTGGTTGCAGGGTTACCTCCCTGCATAATTTGCAGGAACCCATGCACCCCTGAAGTTCCCACTTACCTTGTGGAGGGAAACAAGTTACCGATATAGTAGTGGCAGCTTCTAAAAATGAAGTTGACATGGAGGAAATGGGACGGGGTGAAAGGGTTAGCCTGTCTCTCCAGCACCATAGTCCCAATTAAGATCTCCCTGCGCCTGCTTTTATGTATTTATTTAAGCAGGAGATCCTGTTGACTGGTCTTCTGTGTCTTGCCTAGTTTGGTTCTGTTTAGGGCAGTTTTTAATGTTTGATGCTTTATCGTGTTTTTAATATTCTGTTGGGAGCTGCCCAGAGTGGCTGGGGAAAGCCAGCCAGATGGGTGGGGTATAAATAAATAATAATAAGTAGTAGTAGATAATGGTTAAATGCCAGTGTGGCCAATGAAAATGTCTGCATACGCAGCAAATGCACAAGTAGCTTGCAAGGCATGAAAGGAAGCTACAGTGGAGAGGCTCCACTGGAGAAATATGCATAGATAAACAGAGAGACTGTAGTGAAGCTGGCCTGGTTTATATCCAGTGAGGCTCTAGGCCAGCTGATTGTACACAAAGAGGGCATGTAAAGAACCTCTAAGCATTAAATCAAATTTGGTTTTTTTATAGTACACATGGTGTACCTAAGAAAGCAGAAATGGAGGAACCAGCATACTGACATGGTCTCTTCTGGACCAGCAAAGTAAGAAGAAAATGACAGATATTGGACACCATCACACAATGGATTCAGTTTTTTTATTTATTTTGGAGCAGCCAGTGACCCATTGCTCTGTGAGGTTTTGCACCATCTTCCCCCATTGTAAGGAAGGTGAGGAAACCAGAACTCATCCTTACCCAATAAATAAATAAATAGACACCACAACTGTAGAGCAGCACACATGGAAGCCCAGTGTGTCTTAATTTCACAGGCAACATGCCCTGCAGAACCCCTAATCCCTTCTCCCCTCCCCCCCCCACACATGATATTTAGGAATCCAATGGGTTCAAAGCGGTCCAATGAATAAGAGGCTCATGCTTGTACAAAGTCCATGAGAGCAAACGGCAGTACAATCACTTGTCATGCACAATGGCAAGAACACCAGCTTCTCTGCTGATGGATAGCTTCATTCCCCCTTGCAGTTGATAGCATGGGTTTCTCTTTCTCTTTTGCTGCAGACAGTAGAAGGTCTTTTGATCCTTAGCAATATTGCACACTGCGTCAAAGGGACAGGACACTACACACACAGAAGCCTCAATAATTCATGGTTTGGCTCCAGGCATCTTTTAAATCTTACGGGACAAAGCCCTTAACATAATCATCAAAATGAAGAACCTTTCCTTCTGCATTTTTAAGCTGACTGTTGCCTTCCAGGCCGAAACAGATTACATTTGAAAGCTTTTTTTTTTTTTTTTTACACCTCAGAGTTGTTAATGTAATATACAGGGAATTGAGTTTTCTTATAAAACCACAACTTGAAAGATTCTCCCCTTTTCTGAAACCACCCTTGGCCATCCAACTTCGACTCCAGACTCCTCACATAAGCTTCTCTGGTGCTGGTCTGTCTCTCCCAAGTATTCAACAAGGCTTCTTTCCCCTTCCTACAAAGCCTTGGAAGTGTCTCCTGGCAAAAGGGGTTAAACATCATCAGCACTTGGAGTGAGCTGAGTAGTCAAGGCCAGACATCTCAAGATTCCCAAAGAAGAACGCAGGCATCCTATGATACCAGGAGGTTGATGCAGAAAGCTTAGCTTCAAGAACAGTATATGAGGGGTGTTTGGTTGCTTACAAGTTTTAAAAAAAATAAAAAAATTGAGAGAAGCTGCCTTTCAATCTTGGTCTCTTGGGGTCTCTTGAAATTGCACAGAACTCAATATTACGGAGAAATGCCTCTGAATAAGGGCCTTGGTAAACGTTGAGTCAATTTATTTGGAATCCTACCACGAGGTGATTATTCACTTCTGTCTTTGTGGAACCACTTGGCTATGGGGACAAGTGTTGGCTTGGGGAAAAGTTGGCGAAATACTTCCAGGAGCAGAAACCAGCTTTGAATGTGCACTGCAAACCAATTTGGTTTTACAAGAGTGCTCCTCACAGTGTATTACTTCCCAAATTCTTTTCACGTTTGGGCTGCATAATGATCCCGTCCCAATCCTAGCAATCTGCTGGCTTCACCAGGAAGCCAGATATTTGATGTCCCTTCCACAAGTAGACTAACAAGATGGGAAAATGTCTTCCCAAGGCTTTTCAGCTCCTTGAGGATATTTCCAGCGGAGACAGTGTGGGTGAGTTAATAAAATCATTAACTCTTCCCCTACTTCCGGAAACTCATGTTCTTCAGCTCTAGGAAAGCCTTTCATTTTTGCACTGCGAAGGCTCCACCAATCCTATCTCAAACTGATTTGGCTTCTCACAGCTGAATCCCCGAAATGTTTCATTCACTGCAGTTTTCTTCACAGCCTGGAAACTTGGTTTGCTAGCTGTCCTTCCTTTCATCCCTGTGCAAAGGAATGCGAAGTTCCTCTGTGCCAACAAAAGTAAAGCAGAGCTTAGACTTGTCTCTTCATGAGCTTCTGAGAGTTGCAAATGGTTAGGAGGGCCAAAGCTTAACCCGCTCAACTTTCAACCATTCCAGGGCACCCAGGGATCTCTGCAGAGGAAAGAGAAACACAATCTGGTCAGCTTGGAGTATGGAAGCACCCAAAGGGTGATGTGTCGCAGTTAACATTTGTGCTTCTGCCCCCATTCACGACACTGATTTTGGTGGCATCACATCACAACTTCTAATGTTTCTTTTAAACCCCAAAGTGGGTCTGTAATGAGAAACCAACATTCAACAAAATGAGAATTCAAATTCAACAAAAGCAAGACCTCACATACAGGGTTTGTTTGGTCTGCCATATCTAATGCATTGCCTCAACTCAGCATTTCCCAGCCTGGTCCTCTCTGGATGCTTTGAACCGCAACTGTCATTAGCCCTAGCTGCGTTATGGGGCTGCTCCTGCACAAAAAGACACTGACTAAGATTATGAAGGAACTTCTGAGAGAGGAAAAACAACTGGGTTGAACTGGGTTGGATAATCCATGGTAGGAGAATGATATAGCACAGGAGTATCGATAGCAGGTTAAATTTAAAAATTGTGAACAGACCTAATGGCTTACCTAATGGCAATCAACGTCTTGGGATTCAAAGCACTTCTATATCATCAATTAATGCTCTGTGCAAGAGGGAATGGGATATTTTGCACCATATACTGTAGGTTTGCTGTTCCTGCTTTAGCTATGATGTTTGGTAAAATTGTATTGAATAGCAGGACAACAAAACCTCCAAGTGTCCCTATTTTCCAGGAACAGCCTCAGATTTACAGAAGCCATCCCATTTTTTGGTTGATTTGATCCCAGAATGTCTTCCTTTTCCTTAGGGTCTCCCTATTTTCATTGGAGAAATGTTAGACTATTTGCCCCCCAAACTGGCTGATATTATGCAGACAGGAGCTCAAAAGTATAGGAGTTCCAAGGCCATGACCTCTCTGCTGCAGCTGGGTTCCATAGGTCACCCAGAAGAGAAGCACCACTATGATGTTAAGGTTGCTACAATATTGATGCAAATTAGGACATACGCTTGTCAAGTTTATGGAGATAAGACAACCTTTTTGTATTCCCCTGCAGCACTACATTGACATCCTGCTTGTATCTTTTTGTGCATTTTAATTAAACACGTTTCTGCTTTAATACGTTCAAGCAATAGCATGCGGGAATCTTGAGTCACGTAATGCAACGGCTATCTGTAATTTCTCAGTATATTACTTTCTCTTTTTATCTCTTTCTCTCTCTTTTTTGCTTCTTAATAATTGGACCCAGTCTCATATTCAGTTCTAATAAATTCTTGTCTCAATACTCTGCCTTCCTTTATTCATCTTTCTAAGGATTGATTTTCAGTTATTACAATTGTAACAGTGGTCCACATCTGTGAAAGCATTTCATACTTATGGAAGAGAGGGGTGGAAACGAGTTAATCATTCTTTTCTTCTAATTTCCATATACGTTAGACCAGAGTTGGGGAATCTATGGCCCTCTAGATGTTGCCAGACTACAGCTTCCATCTTCCCTGACCATTGATCATGCTGGCTGGGGCTGATGGGAGTTGGAGTCCAACAATTTCTGGAGGGCTGCAGGTTTCCCAGCGTTGTCTAAGCATGTCTTAGACCAATACAACCTTTCTTCCAAAGGTCTCAAAGACAGTCTATCATTGAGGTTTTCTTCTCTCAGTGTAGGAATATCCCATGTACATTCACACCCTGCAAAGCATCTTGAGCATGTGGTTTGCTCACTTATTTTCTGGCTGGTGTGTCCATGGCAAAGAATGCCTCACCATGAGATGATGACGCCAAATTATTTAGGCTGGTAAAAAGCATAAAAGCAAAGAGCTCCAGAAGAAGCTCTCCAAACTGGGTGATAATTGGAACAATTAAATGGCAAAAGTACATAAGCTGAAACCAATGTGCATTGGGCCCAAACATACTAACTTGACATATACACTGATGGGGGGGGGTGGAGGGAGAGTGGAGGCCATTTGCAGCATGTAAACATATGGGTAGGAATGGTGCGGGTTTTGTTTAGCGAATCACCCTACAGGCTGCCACTGAAAGTAAGTCAGTGAGACCTACTCCCAGCTAAGCATGCCTAGAATGGCAGCCTTCGATTCACAAAAAATATATATAGTACTGAGGAACGCAATGACAAACAACATGCATTGTGGTGCTCCTGCCTTGGTACCCAACTTGTGGAATTCTCACCTTAGAGAAGCTCAGCTGACGGATATCTTAATCTTTTTTAAGTACTATGTTTTCCCCTTTTCTCATACTTTAAACCTCTGGTGTTTCACTTCTGCTGCAACTGTTTTTAGCTCTGTCTTTTACTCCCCCTAACCACGTTATTGATTATTGCTCTTTTATTGTGTTGTATGAACTATGGTAAACCACCCTGGATTTATTTATTTCTAAATGAAAGGGCAATTCAGAAACGTTTTAAAATTCAGTTATTTTAATCTACTTAATGGTAACAATTGCAACCTCCACTGCAGACTAAGATAATAGGAAGATAGCATCCAGGTGTTATTTTGGAACAGCAACACTGATCTTACAACCATGCTGGGGCATCACCCCAATGATAGGTAACAGATTTGAGATAGGTCCTTTGTAAACTTGGAATAAAATGGATGCTAATGTAGTCAAATAGCATGAAAGGTTGGGATAAGGTAACAGCTGGAGCTGCCAAAAATTGAATGCTTGCTGTGTGAACTTAGCAAAGCAAGTTCCCCTTAAGATCTAGGTTTCAGCCTTTGTACTCCTTAGTTTTACATTACATGTTTTCAACCTGTGGGGTCCTAAGATAAGTTTCTCTAGCCTCCGTGGAAATGAAGTCATACATATACACAGTCCTTTATATAGCTGACATCAAATTCAGGAAATATACATAAATTTAATGTATAAAGTTCACAAAATATACATCAGATCCACGAAATATAATACAATTCCCAAACTATGCATCAAATTCAGGAAATACACATATTTCTGATGGTGAATCCTGAGGTCCACTCAAAAATATTTGGGGAGGCCTTCATAATCATTCATGTGTCTAGAAATGTTCTCATCAATGCCCTCTATTGGGCCTGACTTATGCTTTAACCAAGGCGCAGCATGCTAGCATAAACAGATAGCTGCATCAACCTATGTTGGTACAATAGATCTGTTCTTAACAAAGGAAGAGGAAGATCAATTGACTACCCCACCCTCCAGAATCCAGATTTAAAAGGTAGATATCCAAATTCAGGAAAAAACAAAAATCCAGTGTGCCAGTGAGTTTTGACGCAGACGCAACATGATTCATTCATTCCTAGCTAAATGCTTTTGTGTCCCAGGGTGCCATTTTCTTTATTAAATTTCGAACCTGCCTTTCCTCCCAAAGGAGGCATAACTTCAGACACTTTGATGCCATGTCTATTTGTATGAATTCCATCATATTAAAGTTTCCCACACCATGAAACTTGTGAAGCAATCAAGACTGTTTTTTTTAATAAAAAAAACAATAATGATAACAAAAAGGATCAAGCTTTCAGTATTCCAGATTATTTGAAACTAGTCTTCTGTATACGGACGCGGGTGGCGCTGTGGGTTAAACCACAGAGCCTAGGACTTGCTGATCAGAAGGTCAGTGGTTCGAATCCCCATGACGGGGTGAGCTCCCGTTGCTCGGTCCCTGCTCCTGCCAACTTAGCAGTTCCAAAGCATATCAAAGTGCAAGTAGATAAATAGATACCGCTCTGGCGGGAAGGTAAATGGCATTTCCGTGCGCTGCTCTGGTTCACCAGAAGTGGCTTAGTCATGCTGGCCACATGACCTGGAAGCTGTATGCCAGCTCCCTTGGCCAATAAAGCGAGATGAGTGCCGCAACCCCAGAGTCGGTCATGACTGGACCTAATGGTCAGGGGTCCCTTTACCTTTACCTTAGTCTTCTGTACATGGGCGTTCATGGAATTGTGTGTGCACGCATGTGTTTAATAATCCAATAACTAAAATGATAAACTGTTGTGCCTTGTTGCTGTATATGAATGAAATTGTTTTAGATCTTTAAAAAATGTGGATTAGGCACATTCTGTGTATGCCAATGACATACTGCAGGGGTGGCCAACTCCCAAGAGACTGCGATCTACTCACGGAGTTGAAGACTGGCAGTGATCTATCCCCTCTTGGGGGGTTCAGGTCAACGTTATTGGGCTTTTTAGGGAGAAGGAAAGCCCCAGTTTTTTGGGGTGCAGGGCAAAAATGTTGACTTTTTTTTAGGGGAACAAAACTTGTTCAGCTTCTTCTACCACAGATCTACTGGTGCATCACGATCTACCTGTTTGACGTGCCTGACATAATGTGTTCATAGAAAATGAGAATGTTCATTTAAAAGCAAAAGAGATCAGAATGATGTGCGGCATTTCTCCAACTCGAATGGTTTTTTCTTTAAACATTCAACTTTTGGCAGTTTCCTCATATATTTTCAGTTTGTCACAACCCCCCCTCCTTTTTTGTGCAATGGCTTCTTGTTATTCTTTTTTTAAAAAAATAGTTTATTTGTTACAGATCATTGAGTTTGCACGGTAGATTACAAAAGGGAGAATAAGAAGAAGACAATATTACATAGACAGCTGACAGCTTAATTCTCTCAGTTTTCTCTAATGTCTATATGTCCCTTAACAAGGAATAATGGTTTATTTGCTCTTGCACCTTGCATATAGTAGAAACAAACTCCATTTTCCGGTAGAGTTATATTCTATTTGTATGTCTTCTCTTACTCTTATTAAGAGTTGTAACTTTAGTCATAAAGGTCATTTCCCAATTTTTTGCTGCAGTTAATAAATAGGCTACCAATTTTTGACTCTGGAATGATGCTGTTGAGATATCCAAATATTGTTAGAATAGGATACATGCGGCAGACTTAGCCAAGGACATTATCTCTTTCCGTCAATACTGACTCCAAAAATAATTTAATAATCAGACATTCCTCCAAGTACATGACAAATAGTCACATCTGGAGCATCTGCAACACTGATTATTTATTGTTGGATATATTTTATGAAGTCTATCTGGATACAGATACCAA